TTTTGGTAGGTATGTTGTAAAAATCGATTTTCTGTTTGACATTTAAATGTTATTGCTTGCCAGTGTGTTCATCATTCAATGTTTAAAATAATTTTTCATGAATGATTTCTTAAATTTAATTATTTTAAATCTATTTTTTAAAAGTAAAATTTCTTCCAAAATCTTTATTTTATTTATTTTTATTCCTTTCTTTTCGTTAATGAATGAAATATATTCATGCAAATGAGCTGAAATTCATTTCAGATTTTCGGTAATGAAGCAATTATTATTGATATATTCGGTATTAGTGTTATTGTTGTGGCAAAATATTAGCAGCTATAAAATATTGGTTTATTCGCCTCGTATTGACTCTGAAAATGTCAATTATTTGGGTCGTATCGCTGATGAACTTGTAAAAGCGGGCCATAATGTTGTCAGTTAAATAATAATTTATTATTGATATCAATGTATTGATAATGATATCAATAGATTACTGTGTTAAAATGTATATAAACGTCAATGCATAATATGCTAATAACGATGCATAAAACATATATAATTAATTTATTCGCCATTCAACATTAAATAGTATAGCAATACTTTTATGTGCAATCAATTATGCTTAATTAAATATTAAAGATTCGAAAAAATTAACGATATGAATAAGATTGTATTAAAAATTAAAATTTAACAAACTATTTCGCTTTTTTCCTATAAATTGTAATTATCTCTAATAACTTATATATTAAAAATAGCATTGAATTATTTCAATTTCTTTCTCAAAGCAAATTTTTGCGAATTTTTTGAAGTTTCCAATTCATTGTGCTGGTAAATTGTTTAATTCGCCAAATTTTGTGTCCTTTTTTTCTTATAAAATTAAAAATTCATGCTTGTTTATATGTAATTATAAATTCTTGTAATCAAATTAATATGTTCAACTAATCATTTGGCATTAAATATTAAAGTTTTATTTTTAAAATTAGTCATTTATTGTTACTGGCATATTTTTTTTTCATATTTATATACTTTTTGACGTAATTTATTTAAACAATTTTAATTAATTACGAATTATTCGTTCATCATTAACAACCATTTATTTTCTATTTCAGGTGATATATTTACCTGCGGGAGATTCAAACGTTAAAATAAATGGATCAAAATTAGCTAAACTAATCCAAGACAAGTCATATTCTTCTGCAATTTCCATTTCACTCGAACATACATTTCATAATATATGGTCTACAAAAGCTTATTCCTTTTGGGAATTTTTTAAAGTTAATTAATTTAACAATTTTTTAAATCAATGAATAAAAAAAAAGTTTTTATGTCAAAAAGAAGAACAGTGATAATACAGTTAAATGAGACTATCGAAAATCATTAATTATATGCTTGGATATTATCTTATATTCCAAAATTGTACACTTTTTTCAGGTATTTCGTAAATTTACCGATGTACAACTGGCAAGTTGCATCAGTATGTTCGATTATTTATTTAATTCAGTTGAAATAAATATTTGAAATAGGAATTTGAAAGTCGCAAGTTTTATAAACTTTTCAAATAAAACCATCATAGTTTTTTTTTTATCTGATTAAATAAATTTTAAAAAAATAGTTGAATATCGTGCAACATCCTTGAGCAATAAATGTAAAACTTAATCAAATTGATGGTTAACATTTGCGCAATCTATATTAATGCTTGAAATTAGCCTAATTAACAAATGACATTTATATCTCATTCAGATATTTGAATTTTAATCAAAATAAATAGTCGTATAAAGTAATGAATCAAATTTCTAATATTCAACTTTTACAAAACATCAATCGAGTTTAATTCACACTTTATCACCTCTTTTTCTTCTTTGTTTTATCATATTATATCATATTTTTCACTCTATAAGAGCAGCTACATGATGACGAATTGCTGGAACGTTTAAAATCAGAAAATTTTGATTTCGCAATCACTGAATTGATAAATTTCTGTGGTTTTGCATTATTCAACAAATTGGGCATTGATAAGTATGCCAGCGTGTCGATGACCGATATGATGGAAGTGATTGTGGACACATTAGGAGTTAGCAGTAATCCAAGCTTTGTGCCAGGTTTTGTTATTTTATTATCGATTTGATGATCATTTGGCCAAAACACCATTCTTTTACAAAAAAAAATTTAATTGAAATGCAATTAAAATTTCAATTTGGAAATCTTAATTAAAATACTAAATGAACAATAATTTACAATCTAATACTTTTTCATTTTTGTTTTCTTTTTCTTCTAATTTTTCATCTTTTAGCAACAAACTCATATGATATGCCTGATGAAATGAATTATTTTGAAAGACTTCTCAATTTCATCTCATATATGCAAATTTTTTTCCTTCAACGTTTTGTGCTATTTCCGGAAATACATCAAAGATTAAGCGGACATCTACCGAATGAATTTTATCTTCCGGTATGCTCTTGAATGTATCTGTGTGAGTTGTTATAGAATTTAGTGTTAAAATAGCATCAATTGTATTTTAATTCTTTCTTTTTTAGATTTTAAAAATATTTGATTTCAAAAGCTAATTATTAAGAATAAAATGTTTGTGATCAGAAATTTGCTGAGCTTAATATGACAATCAATTAATTTTCAGGAAGCAATTAGAAGAAGCTCTCTGGCATTAATAAATTCTGATGAATTCATCCAATTCCCACGATTGCATGGCCAAAAAATTGTATTTATTGGTGGAATAACGTTGGATGAACCTGAACCATTGGAAAAGGTCAAATGAAATTTATTTTCGAAAATAAAACTATTTCTTAAATTATGACAAAAGATAGACGCATTCATCGATGTATAAATTATATCCAACTAAATTATATCCAAATCAATTATCCATTTAATGTCCAGAATTGAAATTTTATTGAATTGTATATCCCAATCAATATAAAATTTTAATTTACATTGGAGTTCACTCAGAAATTTCATTATTTGAAAAAGAAAATTTTATTTTTACCCCAATGGTTGTTGATTTGTTATTTTACATTGGTAGCCAGAAAATTGTCAGTTTTTTCCTCCTATACCATCTTTATTTATAACTTTGAAAAAGTTGAAAATTGAAAAAAAAAGGTAAGAAAAAAGAGTTTAGAATTAAAATCACAATTTCGATTCGTGATTTTAATTCTAAACACATTCACCTTTTTTTTTCAATTTTTAACCTTTTCAAAGTTATAAATAAAGATTAGTAGCAGGAAACATATATCTGCTAATTATACCATTAATAAAAATTTACATTAATCGAAATTTATCTTTTACAAGCAATTAACTTTTTATAAAATTTCAAAAAATATTTTAGCCTTAAGATCAATAATGAATAGTGAATTGAAATGCTATCATAAATGACGGCTATATTGTAATAATAGCTTAATAATAAAATAACTGACAGTTGATAAGATAATGATGATTCATTAATTTATTTCCGGATTTAGGACTATCAAATGTTAATGGATGAAGCAAAAAATGGTATTGTGATGATATCATTTGATGCTGTTTCAAATATTAGCCAAAATTTGCCAAATATCAATGATTATTTAATTAGCGTACTCCGGAAATTTCCAAACGTATGCTTTTAATTTTAAAAAAATAGTCTTTGCTTAATTTTTTATTTAATTTTTTTTTGGAATTATTGATATTAGTAGAAAAATAATTTAAAAAGATTCAAGAAAGACTGGAATTTGATTTGATTTCAAATAAGAATTATTAATGTTGCTTGTAAACTTTTACAAATAGCACTAACATACCATATTATTTCACGTATCATTACGTTATTAACATATCTAAACAGCAAATAATTAAATAAAATAATGTGACATTAATTAATGAATAATTTAGATAACATTTTTGTTAAATTATGATATTGATAATGATTTTATCGTGGACATTCCGAATGTTATCAAGAAAAGTCGGATACCACAAAAAGATTTACTCGGTAAGATTATCACAGAAATTGTAAAATAGTTTCATTAATGTTAATGCTATAATTTAGTTAATACAAAATCATGAGACATTCATGGCTGTACTATCTGTTAGCACTAATTAGTCACTAATTTCAATCTCCAATCAAAATCATTTTTAGTGCATGCAAATCTGCACGCATTAATAACATGCTGCGATTCGAAAACAATTATGGAAGCAGCATATTTTGGCGTACCGCTTATTTGCATACCTTTTTCGGCGGAACAAATACGTAGCAGTCGTGTGGCGCAACGTGCACAAATTGCAATTGCAATTGAAAAATTAGCTATCACAGAGGAGAATTTAGCAAATGCTTTGGATAATATCATACATTCTGAAACGTCAGTCAATGATTTTTATTTAATTACATCATTAAAATGTAAAATTTTTGCAAACATAATACTCAAATATAAAAATATCGATTGAATTTTTTAATCGAAAAACGAAGAAAACATATTGTTATTTATCATTCAAATTTTATTATATACCGTATCCTCAAAAATTTACTTTATATGTTTATTGTTCAATAAAGTTCTTCTTAGATAGATTTTATTGTAAATTAGAGCAAAAATTAAAATAAAATTATTATACTAAAATTTTAGGTATAAAATAAGGGCCAGCAAACTAGCAAAAATGATGCATGATAAGCCGATATCAGCTCGAGAGTGTCTTATCGGCCAAGTGGAATATGCGATAAAATTTGGACCATTTGAAGTTTTTGATTTTGCATATAACGATTTATACTTTCATCAATTTTATCTCCTGGATATTATCATACCAATAACATCATTACTCATTTTAATTTTTTATTTTAGTTCTCGCTTAACATTTTTGGCATTTCGTCAATTGTTATCAAAAACAAAAATGAAATCGGAATAAAACAATTTGGATAAATGTCTGCAATTTTTACAGCATTCAAATTTATCAAAAAATTTGAAAATTATTCAAAATAAGCAATATTAGAAGAAAAAATTAACGCATAAAATACAAAATATGAAATAATAATTTAAAAAATTTAAAAAAAAAATATTTTGAAACATCATCAATAGACTTGAAACATCACCAATAAACTATAGTTTTTAAATTATCAATTTAAAAATAAAACAGAAAAAATGGATTGAAAATAATATTCATTGTAATTATGAAAAGATGTTTCGAGAATAATTTGATCTATTAATTAAGCAATCATCCCGGAAATGAATTTATCCGGAAGAAAAGTCATGCGAGAAAGAATGATTTTTCTCATAATTAGCACAATCTTTTCCAAATCACAAAGTCAACATAATCATAGCTGTATAAAATACGCATCAGTTTTTACCGCGATATTGTTTAAGGCCGCGGCCATCAATCGATAAAACGCCGTGATCGGTTATTGATTGTGTAAAAGGCGAAAAGTTTGTTGTAGTTAGATTTTTACATGATTCTGTTTTTTACCATTTGTGGCGCTGAATACGTCTGCTATAAATTGAATTTTGTTAATTTAATGAAATTGTGAAGTTCAATTGTTTTTTTTTTCGAAATTTTTTTGATTTTAAAAATTTTAAGTTTGAATTGTAAAAATTTATTTGTTTACATTAATAAGGTAAATTTTGTTTTTAATTTTTAATGTACTTTAAACTAATCGATTTAAGATGCTTTCTGGTATTCATTCAAATTCTCCAATGAATAATTATGATGTGATCGATGCGTTTACATGCATGTAATATAACCAATAATATTTCGTCATGTGTTATTTGGTTGAAAATTTTTACACTGTCAATATCGTGTAAAAATTTTCAACCAAATAATTTTATATAAATTATGGAAATAATGAGAAATAAATTATCATGGGGATCAGTTTCTAGGAATTTCTTGTTTTGTCAGTATCACAGTGTATTTTGGAGACTTTGTTGTTTGGTATTTTTTAAATATGTACCTGAATCAGTTTCGGCGCTCACATAATATATTGTTTGTGAAATTTGAACTTAGTATTATTTATTTTCTAGAAATGAGCTGAATTGGATAATGATGACTTGTGATATGCGCGTAGTTATTTTACAGTATTTAGTGCTTCATTTTTTATGTAGCATAGCTTTGATGCTATTCTTTTTGCAAATTTATTGTCTTCTGTTTATATCATTGTTAATGTTAATTGTTAATTGGTATTATCCATCATGCATCTTTATCACTATCACTCCTGATCATTAAAGTGGTTACTATTTCTTCTTTGTGTCTGTTCGTCTTCCTATTAATCATTATTGGTATGTTTTAGAATTTACAACCTATTGACATCATAAAATGAAACTTTTGAGTAATATTTAAAATTTTAATTTTTTATTAAAAGCATAATAATACAGAATGTTAACTTCTTACCCACATGTTCAGTTTATTGTGTGCTAATATATTACTTCCTTCTATAAATAAACACAGGATGTGCCTGAATCTTTTTAGAAGAAAATGAATTGTTTTGTTTAGTCCACGCAATAGTTATTCCCTATTTATTGTGAAGATTGTCCAGTCTTTAACATATTATTGGCCTTATTATCCGATGATGCTGAGACTCATTTGCCTATCATTATTTCAGGTTTTCTAGTGCTAAATAGATTCCTGTAGCAAAAGTATCTGGTATTTTCATGAAACAACTTATGTTTTTCATGTTTTTTTATCTTAGAACTTATGTGACAATTCGTGATACTTTTAAGGGACAACATGTGATGTTTTGGTTTAATTGCTATCGTTGATTATATAATCCACTATTTCAAAAAGATAATATTTTCCTGTGTATTATTTTCAGGTCGCTTGTTGCAGTTAAAAGCTCGTGTTGTTGATTTTACTGGCAAATTTTGTGTAGTGACAACAACAATAGCAATAACAATAATAATAATAATAATAAATTTATTACTGTGATATATCATACGAAAAAAAAACGTTTATCGGTCGCAGAATTAAGACAATAGAAACTGAACTTGGGGACTGTTCATCTGCTGTTGCTGCTATTGCTATATCCAAAGGTTTTGCTCGCCGCTGAATGCTTGGAAGCGATCAGCGAGAGACTTTGTTTTTCATCATTCATCGATCTCATTTCTATACATTTGTATTTTGTATCTCTGTAATTAGGTATTTTTTTTAATGATTTTAATCTTTTCAGAATACGAGAAAAAGTAGGAATCATTCCTGCTACTGTAATGTTTAAGTTCTGGATTTTCAAAAATCGTAACTCAAACTAAACAGTTATTTAAGTTCTTAAAGAATGATATAGCTTAAAGAAGCTACTGAAACTAATTTTTAAGGTCCTATTTTTAACTATTATTATGAGATAGAGGAGAGTAATGTTTAATAGTATTAATTACTAGCCGAAAAGATTAGCTTCTGAATTCGATTGAATCGATTTTAACAGTTATTTTTTTATTGCTCATGAGAATTTTATGAAAAATTAATTCGGTAATTTCCTTTAAAGTATGTACTTTATAATCATAATGAATTGGAGCAGGAATACTTTTCTTTCAGCCGACTGTCAGACGCATTTCAATGGCTGAGAAACGAAAATTGCTCAATGAAATTGATAAATGTTTCAAAAAGGTTATGTCGGTCTTGCTATCTTAATTGGATACATTTTTTAGAGCCTTTTTTAATTTATTTACTTGGTTCAAATTGGAACAAGTTTAATGTTGCTGCAGGTGGAGGAAGGAGTGGAATTATTCGAAGAAACAATGGCCAAAATGCAGGAAGCGAATAGTGATAATCAGAGAGAGAAGTTCCAGGTCTATTTTTTTTTAAAGCTTTTACTTTAGAGGAAAAGATTTTCAGTGAAAATTTGTTGAAATCTCATTCATTTCGATTTTTTTTAAAGTGACATACTTGTTTTATTTATGACGTTTGCCAGATTTGTTGAGGGTATCTTATGAATGAGAAGTATTTGAATTTTGAACGAATTCTCTAACTTTATGTTGATACTTGAAGAGATGGTTTCAATGTATTGACTTATTGGTGCAAATTAGGTACTACCGGAAAATGTTTCA